AAAAAAAAAATTTAAAAAAAAAATTATATATTTTTTTAAATTTCTAAATTAAGGCAGCTCGCCTCTGGGCAAAACAGAGAGCCGGGCTGACTTGCTCCTCTGCGGGTTTTAGGGAGGAAAGAGCAGGTTCGGAGGAGGTAAGGGGGTGGTTTAAGCCATTCTATGCCTGGCAGTAAAGCAGTGGTAGCACCGTGCACCTCCACCTCCCAACCGCACAGGCGGAGAGGGGCAACGCGGAAAATCCGCACCGCTGAACGCTCCCCCACCTCGGAGGCTGGGGATATATTGCCGTATGAATTAATTCTGGCTTCACCAGGCTGGGTGGAAGGTCTTAATTACAATTAATCTGGGATCAGCAATATGACTTTCTGAGCCCTCCGTAGATCTGGGGGCTTCCCAAGTCCCCCTTTACCACCCCAAAAAGAAGCACAAACAAAAATCTGGGCTTCAAAAATGACCGCAGTGGCTGAAATATTTGCCTAAAGGTGTGTTATTTCTGGGGGAAAGAAGTCTATTTTCGCTCGTCCTGGAGATCCCCCGAGCAGCCTTTCCGTCAAGGGTCTTTTCCGTGAGCCGGGGTCGTATGAAATAGATTTGCCTTTATGAGCTGTGTGGGCACCTATAGGTAAATTGGGAGGTAATTGTAATCCCATATACACTCTCCTCACTCTACACACTCGCGTAGATACGCACACATACACTTTGCAAAGGCAAACGTATTTCACACGTACATAAATAAACACGGCAAATACTTGGGCTTTGAATTTGGTCATGAGAAAATCCTGGCACCAGCAGCCGGCCAACGCTTCTGCCTAAACTGTAGGAAAAAGCAGAGAGGATCCTGCAAGTGTAGCAACCTCCTCGGCACCGCGTTCGTGCCATCCAAAGAAAAAACCTGGATTTAGCCAAAGGCACCTTCAAAATTCGCTGGTGTGACATGGACCCACTTTCGTGTCTGCAGAAAACCTTTGATGCCCCCAAGCCCTGGAAATCCCCTTGGAAACACTCTCACCCCATCCAAAGGCTTAAATTACACCAGAAAGGGCTCTTACCTTCTGCACGAATAGAAATTCGAGTTCGAGATAAACGAAAACTGAAGGTATAAAAGATTTTGAAAGGAAGCAACAGAAACAGAAGCAAACAAAATCCACCCCAAATGGGACCTGGACCATTTGAAAAGACCGCAAACACCACGAAATGCCTTTTAAAACGCAACAACAATCTGGGAAACCACCTCTTTTTCCACGCACCCATTTCAAATTTAACATCTGAAGTGAAAGGGAACCTTTCTCGGTATTCATTTAATTCCTTATTTCCGCCCCAAATACAAATCCAGCCCCATATAATCTTTCTTTCTGGTTAACTCCCACCAAAACCTCTCTTGGCGTGGGCATTGAAGGCGCTTTGTGCAGATAAGTTTGCAGGGGTTTTGATAACCTTGACTTTGCTTTTTTTGTGTGTGTTGGTAATTGTAAGGCGACTGTCAGATAATATCATTTCTCTTTGGATGTGGAATGGTTAAAAAAAAAGAAACAATGGGAGAAAGAAAAAGATAAATAGAAGAGAGATAAAACAGAAAAATAATAATTAAAAAAGGAGTGTTTCGCGGTTCTGCTTTTGAAAAGGCCAATTTTGGAAGGGAGAACGCCAGAGGAAAGGTTTTGCTGGTGCCAGAGAGCCGAGGCGTGTGCGCATGGGGTTCACACACGACCCACATGCATGCAGCCCTGCCTGCACACACAACGCCACACACCCCAGCCATCCTTCTGCTGCTGGAGCCCTAATTATAGCACAGATCCTGACACACGGCGGAAATTTTCATCCACATACCACAAGCAAACCATGCGACCCGTTGCTTAGATCTGAGCAGTATTTTCTAGCCAGGATTTCGCTCCAACTTTTTAGGGAAATTCAATCCATCCCTTCACATGATCCCCACTTATTGACCTGAGAGAAGCCCCTGAATCCACCTAGCTTCAAATTAGGAGAGAAACAAATCCGAATATTCACATATTCACACAGATTTCAAGCCATATGCAATCCCTACAGTGAAAATAAAATGTGTTCACTGGAAGCCTCTTTTCAGACAATCCCAAACTTAAAACATCTGCTCAACACACAGAAACGTTTTTTTGCCTTCGCAAACAAGACCTCAATTCGCCAGGAAAAAAAAAAGAGAGGAGCTTTTTCCTCTCTGAGTCTCCCAACGAGCTCCCGAGCACTGAAATGAGCCACAGTGCACAACTCCAGCCTGAGAGGTTTGTAACTGCAAAGTAGACTCTACGCAGTTGTAATTTTTTACTCCGCGTCAACACTCAGCAAAGCCAAACACGACAATTCCGCGGAGCAGACGGAAATAAAAGCCTTTGCACGGCAAGCGATATGAAAGGGGAAAACAAACCAAAAAATCAGGGTTCATCAGCCTTAAAAAACACAACCTCTCCCCTAAAACACCCCCCACCTCACCCCACACCAACCAAATCAACCCCGAATCTCCGCGATTTCAGAGCAAAGCCACCTCGCCTTATTACGTTCTGCAGCCCGGATTGCAAGGACCAAGATCTTTTAATTTTTTTTGCATAAGCACATGCACAGCGAATTTTCTCCATATAAACAGCGAGAGGACGAGTTCTCAAATAGCTCTCTGCTCCTTTTTCTCGGTTCTAATACATACATATCTTAAAAGCACACAACATTTCCAGGAAGAATATATATTTTTTTTCCAAAAGACAGCAACAATACAGAACATTTTGGTGCCAATTTCGGGAGAAGTTGGCAGGGCAGAGAGCACATTACCGCCGAGTCGCATTACTCTTGCACTTATTAGCTATGGATGATTACTAATTGCTGAAATTAGGTACTGATAATGAATGATTCCCTTACCTTTTGCTTCATTGTCAGAATTGTCAGTGCTGGTGTCAGTGTTTTTATTCAGGTCTTTCTCTGCTTCCGAAGGACTTATTTTAGGTGCTGGGGCGCTTTTTTCTGTTTTAATTTCGTTCGTGGATGTGTTCTGAGTATTATCTGTTTTTGTGTTTTCGGGAAAACTCACTTTAGCCACCGGGGGCGGCGGAGGAGGTGGAGGAGGTGGTGGTGCTGGTTCCAGATGCTCGTTCCTTGGGTTCAGGCTCGCCCTGGATTCAAAACTTGCCTCAAACTCATTTGGATTGCTGCAGTTTGACGTCTTCTCCATGGAGGGGTAACCTTGGCTCGCTCGGTAGTAGCTAGGAACGGGGACTTCATGGTCATTTAGGCAAGACTCAGGCATTTGGTTGGGGTAGAGGGCTGTCTCTGTGGCATTTTTTGCTCTTTTATCAGCGTTATACATACAGCAAACATTCTCTTCCTTGACATTGGTTGGGAAGGAGCAGGATGGGAGCTGTCTTGCAACAGGTTGCTCGATCCTGTACGTATTTTTGGGGTCACACCAAGTGTCTAGCTGAGAAAGGTAAGATGGATAGGTGCTGAGAGACAAGGTAGCGCTATTCACCTCGTCCCTTTTGGAAAGAGACGGGATAATTCCACAGTTCCTCATGACTCCGCAGCTGAAATCGCTCCCAGGCTGCATGTACATCCCTTGGCTGGAGGAATAATTCTCCCCTCTACAGGTACCGGCCAACGAGTCCATCAAAAACGAGTTAGAAGTCACATTGTTGGGACATGACATTTTCAGAGAGGGTTTTTAAGGAGGAATACTCCAGCCAGGGGCTGACATCTTTTTTTTAGGGGGAAAAAATATCAAGCACCATAATTATCCACGCATCGCTCTCCCCCCCTCCACCCCCCCACGTGATGCCCAGGCCAATGAGGATTGAAAATGGCCTTGATGATTCAGACGGGGACGACGTCACGGGGGTCAAGTTGGCGGGACCGGGAGCGGCACCGTGGAGCAACAGCGA